ATAAATCCACTTTAGATAGTACCTTTTTCCCTTTCAGCCGAGCAATAATATCATCTATCCTAAGTGGTGAATCGAATTCGGGTATCATAATGGAATTGAGGTGCCTGGCATCCAGACACACTCGAACCGATCCATCTTTTTTCACAGCGGTCATGAGTGGTGACACATATGGGGTACTGGCACGTTCAATGACCTTCCACTGCTCCATCTGCTTTATCATGTTCCCTACTGCTTCCCTATGTGCTACTGGGATTGGATAACTTTTAATAAAAAATTCTCGGTCCACTTTTAAATGGATCTCATGAAAATAGTTTTTGATACGACCGGGAATAATTGAAAATATTTTCTCGTACTTTAAAATTAAATTTTTTAAATGTAACCTCTCATTTTCAGGTACACGAGTGGACAATGACAACAAATTAAAATCTATGCCTACTGGTTTCATTTGGTTTTGGTTGAAACTCGTAGCATTATCACTTTTATTTACAAGGGCTGTAACCATTATGGGAGCGGGGTTGACCCACTCACAAGGTAAGTCTAACTCGGGGACTAATAACCTCTTGTCTTTGTTATACAAAATTATATTTTTATTTTTTAGGTCAACTGCACCCTGAAATAGTCGTAGGAAATCAACTCCAATTATAATTGGACAAGATAAATCAGAAATTAGAAGAAACTCATGTGAGAATTCTACTTCCTGCAATTCAAAAGTGAAACAAGCCTGCAACAGCACCTTCCTGAACTTTGTCTTAAAAGCTCCTATCACCCGAATTGAAGTACATGGAAAATGTGGAATTTTATTCCAACAGTTCGATAACTGCTGCCAAACTTCATTAGAACATGCAGTCACTGTACTGCCTGTATCTATCAAAGCAGGAAAACGAAATCCATACAAATTTATTTGAATTGTGGGGGACCTAGTGTCTAATAATTTATGATTAAAATCACATTCCTTCAGCAAATGTTCCTTTGGATTATTATTTGTATTGATAAAAGTGCCAGTCTTTATTTCCTTATTTAATTTCGCTCCCACACACCCATTCATGTATGGGAACTTTCCAAGTTTCCCGAATCATTTTCCGAATCTTGTTCTTGACCTTCAAATCCCATGACTGCGATTTTCTTAGGAAATTGTTTGGAAGAAGCATTGTTGCCAACCTGATTTCCATTTCTATTTGATTTATAACTATAGTTATTCTCATACTGCCTGTTTCTGGTTTGATTTGTATCTTCTCGAAAAGAAGCAGGTAATATTGAGTTCCTAGGTTGACTTCCAAAATAGTAATCAGCTTGCCTAAGCCTTTCTAGTGCTATCAAAAGATTTCCAGATCCTACTAAACTAGATGAAATGTTTGGAGGAAAATGTCTAGCAATAATTGCAATTAACTGTTGTTCTGTATAAGGTGGGAACAAATAACGAGCTTCTGCTATCCTTGCATTAAAATATTCAGTAAAAGAACCATTAGTTTCCCTGTACCTGCCTGATTCCAATTTTAATTTTATTTCAAGTTGCATGGTTTCACCCCAATATTGCTCTAAAAAAGCTTGCTTAAATGCAGCATAGGAATTGAACAAGCAACCAAATGCATTGAACCAGTTTTTTGCAGAGTGCTCAAAAAGGCTGGCCAAATAAAACCTGAACTGGCCCATAGAAAGGTTATTTACATCAAAACATGCTTCAATATTATTTAAGAATTCAACGGGGTGCAAATTCCCCCCATTTACAAAGGTAGGCAAAACCCTTACATCCCTAAAATTAGCTAAGTTACAAAAATTTCCCTGCTGAGCCCTACTCTGATTCGCATTGTTGTTAATAGTCGTATTCCTACCCACAGAACTAATATAGTTTTGATTTTGAGGCAAAAAAGTTCTTCCTGTTTGATCATTTTGGTAGCCAAGATTTTGAAAACTATTTGCCTGGCTATTTGCCTGACTATAGTATGGCAAGCTATTAAAGTTACTGTTATTAAACAAACTAATTGGGACTTCCTGATATTTTTGCCCAGGTACAGTGTTAGTGGCAGGCAGTGTATAGTCATTTTCAGATAAATCTGTAGGAAAATGGACCCTACTATGCTTAGCTTGATGTCTAGGTAAACTTTGTTGCTCTGCCACTAACCCTGTAGGATTTACTGCCTCATAGTTCCTACCGTCCAGTAGGGTTTGCAACCCATTATTATTCCCTAAAACACTAGAACTATCACTTCCAGATCCTACAGAGGCTGTGAGTGCATCAGATACTCGATGTCCCAAAGTGGGCTCCCTTTCCAATATCACAGGCAAAGCACTTGCTTGGGGTTGTTCACTGGGGATAGTATTCAAGTTGTTACCTTGATCAAGGTGTTGAAACCTTTGTTGATTACCCTCCTGTCCTTCATTCCTTTGCACAGTTCCATCTGCTGTCGGTTGTTCTGGACGGTTTCTGAACCTCAGAAAGTATTGAGTAGCGCCTGGAGGTGTTCTTTCTGGGAGCATTTTCAATTTTTCTCAGCCCCGTGGTGGTCGCCAAGTTGCAATGAATCTCAGGGGTCTGTGTTTGCGGGGTTCGGCTGAGTAAAAAATTGCTCGTCGGGTAGCAGATCTTTATTCAAACTGGAGGAACAGAGGTGAAATGCGGCAGGAAAAATCTCAGTGGCGAAAGGAGACCAGTTCTTAGTCTAAATTCATCCAAGTCTACAAAAGGGGCATAAATATTAACTCCTAAGCCAGAACACACTGGTTACACTTGCTAACATTAAATTCGATGATTCAAACTTCGTCATGCTCGACAAAATAGGTTAAGTTCTACAATTTATCGAAAATGGGTTTCACCTACCTACAAAAGGGCATAGGCGAGAGGTCCAGCGCTGCCAGGAGCGTAGACGCTACAATAAAACCAAAAACACCCTCTGCAAAACTGGATGCACAATGATTTAAAATCAATAACCTTTACAGTTTCAACATTCAGGCACCATCTTCTAATTTCCTTCTCTTCCCCTTCCCCCGTTCAAATAACCCTGACTTCCTTTCGAATGGAAATAGGCGCGCGATTTAAATGAATGACCCTGGCTCAACTCACGATTATTCAGCCGTGTATGCTTGGTTGCCGCAATTCAGACGCGATCTGTTACACAACTATTGAAATAGACCAATATCGAAAATCATAATAGGCAGATATGGTACTGGTACTCACCTTAGAATTTATTCACACCAGTTCACGCTAATATTTCAAATCACTGAAATAATACTGTTGTAGAACAGAGATTTTCTTTTTTCTATGGTGGATTAGGTATTATACACAAAATTTAGAAACTACGGAACACGTCCCTAACGAACACTTGACCCCAATCTCAGAAATAACCATTTTTTCAGCTCAAGAATATTTTTTACATTTCGATCCTTTCATCAGGAATCAGTTCACTGCTCTGATCCAAATCATATACGTATCCAAATATTTATCGGTCGGTAATATGTTTCCTGTAAATATGGATTGTAACCAGGATGAGCTTAGCGAGATTTACCCACGTCAAGTATGTTTATCAAAGGTTTATCAGAGTAGGCGCCATCGAGAAACTTGCAAACGACCTTCAATAGGGAGCAAGCGCACCAGTTATATTTCTATACATCCCTTATGAATCTATAATTTCATGAAGAAAGTCGCCAGGTAGGTAACAAATATAAGTTTCAATGCACTTTCAATTTCCATAATATGGTACTGACTGCATGATTCACTACAATATTCCCCATTCATATATAGGTACTATTGAAATTTAATAATATTGAATAATACCAATGTCTAGGAAATGATTATTGATTAGTCATAGTTATAAAAATTCCCACGTACCTACCCCACAGGCCCACAGCCCGCAAGTATATACCAAAACCATTTTTCGATATGTATCATCAATCCATGGATTCAATCCAAAGATCCAAAAATTGATCTAATCTAAACTTTGATGTTCTTTATTGATGATTATTATGTCAGTTTGATTGTATGTGGTTTTCACACGGTTGTCATCACAACAAGGTCATTCTTCATTCTTTGCCGTTTTATTCGTTCCTACCATATACGTATTAATAAACAATACGGATCATAACGGGTGCCAGGATGAAGCCAAAAATATGAAACGAATGAATATCCATAAGGATTTGGTGGCATGATACGCATGCGCTATTATAGTAGTCATCAAAGACATGCGTTTCGGTGGACAATGACGTTTACTAGCCTTTCAATCAAAGCAGTATGTGTCTGATCGTTTCAAAAGGTCATGACATTCTGTTGTTTTTGTTTACGTTTCGCGGACATGTTTATTAGCGATTTTTCATCAGTGGTATCCATAGATTTCGATAAATGGGATAATGAAAATGGGATAAACATATCATAGGAAAACCAAATGTAAGTATTAGCATTTGATATTCTCAAGGGTAATTTTGTAACACTTCATCATTTGAAAAACCTACCAAGATAATGAAGACCTGTGTACAAAAATAAATGAATGATTCCATTCTTTCAGAATTTATATTTTCACTAGCATGTCCTGTATCATTCATAATCATTAAATCATCCTGAAATAATTAATTATATCCCGAAAATCCTAATAATAAAACATAAACATAGTCCATAAATGTCATGTCACTCATGTCAAAATATTCAAAATAATGAGTTAGGTTAGAATGAATGAGAATGATTGTCATTTGAACTTGCGTATTTGATCATGCGCAGTATCTCACTTTTCCTTATGGATAGTCATTTGTCTTCAAAAATCGGCTTCATGTTTCGCTATGGAAACAGATAGAGATTATCCGTATTGATTATTAATAGGTATATGGTTCCTACACAATTCTTGCACCAGAAAATCACAATCAAGCGCGACTAGTCAGTCATCAGTCAATGTCAGTGAGACAGCTCTATACCGCGTGTTTCAAACCGCTGTAAGTCTTTGAAAAATAAGTGTTCCTTTTAGTTGAATAAATCGATTCGTAGATACATACTAATGACGTAACAATATCATCTGTTGCAGTTGATAAATCGCAACGCCATCATGCTGGAAGAAACGAGAGACACCATTACGGTACCTGCGGCGTTCATGATCAGAATGTTGGCGTGCCTCAATCAGATCAGAAGGGGGGCAAGGATCAGAGCGCCGAGAAGAAGAGAAGATGATGAAGAAGACGCGGCACAGTAAGGGTGGTTTTCAAGTTCAAATAATGTGAAGTGGGCAAAGTTCAATCCTCTAACTACACTCACCGGCAATAAAAACGACCACCAAAAAATTTAGCCGCGTTGTTCACCCTGTAACATTTTTAATTCTTGTCCGATTTTGGTGAAATTTCAACCAAATCGTATATTCATGTTTCAGAATGTTGACCTGAATATTAGTACCTAAGAGAAGCTAATGGCTTGATCATTATACAGGGAAACACAAAAGTCACTCTTCCACCCTCAACTTCTTAACACCATGTGGCAAAGGTGAGTGGTTAAACTTCAGCTTCAGCTTCATTATATTTTCGATTGTTATGTGATACCTTCCTAACACAATGGTTTTTGATTCACGTTGATAACCACTTTCAACCCTGAGTTTGACCCTGAAACTACTTTTTCCGATTTTGTATATTTCTTCTCATAACGTTTGATAGAAGGTCCCATAAGTCGAGAAAAAATTATAAAAACATTTTCGATCTCGCTGTTCCTTCAAGAGGATGGTAGATTTAATAAAATGTTTATATTATATCATACAAAATGCTCAGCAAAATACTTGAAACTTCTAGAAACTAATTACTATGATAGGCCACAAAATACAAGGCTGTGATTCTCTTCAATTGGGGCATGATTGAAAAACCGTCACTATCGATCCAAAACTTGACAAAATCCTAACGATCGCGATTGACCTTGTTTAAGATGTCAAGATAATATAATGTGATACTGGCGACATCTTCAAACCGTCAGCTGAATCAGAAAAATAAGGTTTCGTTTTGAAGTCCTTTCAAAAGGACGGTAGGCGTAAATGGGTTAAAGTGAAGATTCAACGGTTTTTCGAAAGTATGGGTTTTTCGATTTTTATTAACGATAATTCAGAACCATTCTCCAATATGCTGCTTCATCATGTTTCGAATTGAAGTGTGATCCTATTTTGTCCCTTCTTAACACAGTATTTCTAGATTCACGTCAATATCTTATTTTCAAGAGAAGATACAAGTATTTTAAGAAAGTATGAAATTTTTAAATTTTTATTAACAATAATCCAGAACCAATAGAGCATCTTAGGGATGAACTCTAGAGACTCATTCGTCTTCATCCGGTCTTGTCAGAGACTGTTCAAGAGTAATTCAAACTCGAGGAGGGCATACTCGTTATTGACTACAGGTCTGCTGTTGGTTTGTTTATTCTGATTAAGGTTTTTTGCGGTAAGTGCTAAAAAATGAGGTAAAAATAAGTGATAATAATTCCCTAAGTTGTTAATCAATAAGTATATATCGTCGCCTCAGAGCAACAGTAGGACATCAACAAAATCTTAGTTTCGAGTAAATTCGATTTTAAGTTTTCATGATAACTTTAATCCCACATATGTCAGGATCTAGTAAACGCATCTCAGTGAAATTTTGGACACTTTCTGAACTTCAAAGTATATTCCAAATGATGATGATGATTCGAAATCGATAAGAACAGCTAGGAAATAATTATATCCACTTGTCTTACTGTTGCTATAGAAATGCATGAGATAAGATTTTATAGGATATCGAAATGAATTTATATCTTGACTCAGTGTTCCTAAGGAATAATCAGCATTTTGAATAGGACATCATCTTGCAAAAGTTATCAATTTCATCTTGTCCCATAATTTTTCATAGATTCAATTCAAATACATTGGGGAAATTAGCTTATCACAAAAAATAATTGGCAAATAGTAGAAAAATGGTTTATTGAACGAAAAACAGACGCATACAGAATAACTTAACCAGATGCATGATCATAATTATTATTATCTTTAGTTGTTGTTCCTTTCAGAGATAAAAAAAACTGGTGATGCTATTTTGGTATCAAATTCAGATCACACAAGCTGATCAGATCATTATTCCGCTTATTATTTAGTATAGGCGGTGGGTTGTTGTAGGCTGGAGTAAATGCAACTTCCCGGCGTTGTGTTCGAGTTTTTTTTCTTAATTTCAATCTTTGGGTACATATTTGTGTGAATATTCACTGAGACCAACAGGAACTGAAATATTTTGAAGACGTTGCTATCAGTTGAATCGCTTCCAGAATAAAATATATCATGACATCATAAGGCTTGTCTCAGTATTCCACTAGATGCCGAGGTAGTTTATGATTCAAAAACTTCAATAACCGCGAAAGCCCAATTTTTTCACATGTCCTACTGTTGCTCTGAGGCGACGAATATGTAGGTTCTGATTATTGTTAATAAGAATTGAAAAATGACATACTTTCTCAAAACACTTGTATCTCCTCTTGAAAATAATATCATGACGTGAATCAAAAACAATTGTGTCAAGAAAAGATCACACTTCAATCCAAAACATGATGAAGCCAAGTTCAACCACTCAATCTCGCCACAGGGCGTTAAGAAGTAAAGGGCGAGAGAGTAACTTCGGGTTTTCCCTGTATAATAATTAATTCATCAGCATTTCACGGAAACGAATATTTAGGCTAACATTCCGGAACAGGAATCTACGATTTGAGCGAAATTTCACGAAAATCGGACAAGTTTTGGAAACATTTTCAGGGTGAACAATTTGGGCAAATTTTTTTGTGGCCGTTTTTATTTGACGGTGAGTGTAAAAGAACCAGTTATGTATTTCTACTGAAATTTTGTATCCATATCGAATCTACTCATGGTGTTGCGCAGAAAACTAACAGCGAATTACATTCGTTGACCTGGTGGTGCACTAGTTTGGCACCAGTTTTGCACTGGCACTACGTTAGTTTTTTCCAAAAACTGAACCGGAATACGCAATGATATGATGATAGAACTCTTCTTAGAGGTTAGGTCGGTCAAGTTGGTTTGTTTTTGTTCATAACTTGTTGAATTCATATAGAATTCGTCTTTCTGAAAGTTGAAAGATATGGATGAAACTTATGGAATAGCTTTTCAACTGATAAATGAAGAGATAATTACATGATCAATACAGCGAACGACTTTTCAAATCAACAAATAGGTAGTATTTTCAGTGAGGTATTTATTCATCGCTACTTGTTGATGGTGGTAAGAAAGCCACGAACAAATTGCCTTTCAAACTTTTCATATTCTATGATTCCGCCATTTTCAAAACTGCACTTACTTCCCACGATCTATTAGAGCTCGTGCGTGAATTGTTGTACTGAGCTCTGAACTATGTGCACCAGCTTTCCAATGGATTTCGAAACCTGCCTCCAGTTATACAAATGGAATACAAAATATGCACTTAGTGCAAGTGTTTTACCAATGGAATTCGCTATGAAACGACAATGTCATTCGTGGTCAAGTCACTGAATAGCAAAAAATCTGAAGGGTATCTCCCACGCAGTAATGAATTTGCGCCTTCGAAGTGCCCATCTGATGTTAAGTTAAATATTTGTTATTTTCATTTCATCTTCTGACTAATTCGAGACTTATGAACCCAAGAAGACGTATTCTAACAATTAATACCCAAGTTACCGTTGTATAGTTTCATGTCTGGTTGTTGAATATTTTGTGACCAAGGGCAACCTGGTGCGCGTGGCATTGCGCAGTAAACAAACAGGGGTAACGAACATCAAAGGTGCCGACAGTAAGTGCGATTACTGTTAGCTCTCTACTGTGCTTTGGGATTTATTGCGACAGTCGAATGATATCGTAAAATGGCGGCCAGATGAAGTTTAATTAGTATATTTTCAGTCTAAATTAAAAGATTGTTTCAGTCATGCAGAGCCAGTTGTTCATCCAAAATTTTCTTTTTTGTAGTATACCGGGTGACAGGGTATCGGGCCACCCCTGTAACTTCTGCTTTCGTCGTCGGATTTTTCTGGAATTCGGTACAGTTATATAAGCAATTATTTCGGATTTGATCACATTACAATCCAATATGGAGGACTTCCGGTATTTATGGAAATGCCAGCAACTTTGTTTTTCCAAATGAAACACCCTGTATATTTTTACATATTCAAGTTCAACAGGTCGAAACAAGTGCAATATTTATGTCAAATGTCATTTTTTCGAAAAAAAATTAATTAAAATTGTTTTTTCATTTTTCCTCGTGGATAAATGAGATGTGGACAAGACTATTCACAATGAGTCACACATAACAAAATAACATAATTTTTTCTGAAAAATTATTTTTTGTATCACTTATCCAGGAATCAATTCAGCCATATCACTTTTTGATCAAAAATTATTTTTTTTCAAATGGAACCTCTATGGGCCACCTACCCGTTTCTCTAGAACATACATAAAGGAACAAAATGAAATATCATTTTTGTTTTTCGGTGCAGTAACAAATTGTATACATTCAAAAATCAACAACTAGTTTATGAATTTCCTTGCAGTTAGAATAATTTTCCAACTAGGTGGCTGTGGAATAAATGACATTTGACATCAAGATTGCACTTGTTTTGACCTGTTGAACTTGAATATGTAAAAATATACAGGGTGTTCCATTTGAAAAAACAAAATTGCTGGCATTTCCAGAAATACCGGAAGTCCGCCATATTGGATTGTAATGTGATCAAATCCGAAATAATTGCTTATATAACTGTACCGAATTTCAGAAAAATCCGTTGACGAATGCATAAGTTACAGGGGTGGCCCGATAGCCTGTGTCACCCGGTATAATTAGTATTTCGGCGAGTTCAGCAATAGGGAAAAAAATCCTCAAGGTCATAAACATGTTTGACGAGAAGAATTAATCATAATTACCTATTTGGCAGTTTTGAACTACATTGGTAGGTATTATTGATTGATTTAGAAATCTGGAATGAGACCAGTCCAAACAATTTTCTGGTTGTATGATATAATAATAAAAATCTGTTCTGCAGAATTTTGAATCTCTGTTAATGAATTGAAGACCGACATCTTCAAGTTTAACTTTCTAAGCCCACTTCCTCTATTACTCCCTGAAGTAATCTAACCTGATAAAAAACGATAATATCCAAGAACAATTGATTTAGAATTATTTAATAATGCTTAGAGATCCTGGAGAGAGTTTTTCTTTTACATTCTTTTCTCTGACGATTTATTTGAACTATTTTAGCCAGTAGTAACGAGCGAGAAAAACTAACTCACTGTATACAATTGGGGCTTTGAATTTTTTTAGTTGGTTTGGACTCTTTCCAACCAGTATAGACAAATATAATAGTTTACATACACTTGTTAGGTAATTTTTTATTACAGGTAGTTAATTTCTAGGGATTGTTGTTGATATTGAGTATTTTGTTATTTATTCATCAGCTTTTGACACCTAACATTTTTTTAATGAAATTTATTGATTAATTGCTTCCATCAAATTTGTAATTATTTTTGTAAATAGAGGATTCGAATGATATTTATTGTTAAAGTGGAAAGAATTTAGAATATATTTCATTCATGTACTATGGTATTAATTTTGTGTGATTGCTTTTTGCTTTACATGATTATGTGATTTATTGTAAATTTACAAGAATTTTAGTGTTCACGCATTAAATATTTTTTCAGTTGATGATTTGTTTTTACTTCTCTAATTCAACGAATTCATTTATCAGTATACATTCGGCTTTTCAAAGATAATTCATGAACATTTTTATTCTCATTCATCCCGGAGTTGTCTCATTTTCAAATCCTCAATGAAGAACTACTTTTCATCATGTCTAATTTCTGATTTTTGTCTAGAAAATGTGATGGGAGTGGAGTGGTGATTTAAGGAAGAACTAATGATTTCTCGAAATTTCTATTCAATTGTTCAACAAATATATCCAATATTTCAACTAATCTAGTATCACCCAAATCGTGCCTTTCTAACTATTAAAAAACTCTCGATAACACAATATATCATCATCAATTGAAAACTGTTTTGGGATTGATTCAATAATCCTGTCAAGATAATTATAATCACAGTAGGTAATATTATTTTAAACCATTGACCCTAACCCTAATGTTATCAAAAATAAAAATGGCACAAAACTAAAGCCTTCAAAACTGGTAGTCAACTAACTATAAAGTATTCCGATTCAACAAAGCTGAAATTATACACTCACCGGCAAAAAAAACCGGCCAACAAAAAATTTAGTCAAGTTGTTCGCCCTGTAACTTCTTTAGTTCTTGTCGGATTTTGGTGAAATTTTGATCAAATCGTAGATTCATGTTCCGGAATATTAACCTGAATATGAATTCCCAAAAAAGCTGATAGCTTGGTCATTATACAGGGAAAAACAAGAGTTACTCATTTACCCTTAAATTCTTAACGCCCTGTGGCCGAAGTGAGTGGTTGAACTCCTCTTCATTATGTCTTGAATTGAAGAGTATTCTATTCTCATCATAATAGTTTTTGATTCACGTCGATATCTCATTTTTTAGAAAAGATACGAGGCATTTAAGAAAGAATGGAGTTATTCAAGTTTTATTAAAAATAATCAGAACGTAGATACACCTACACAAAAAACCTTGATTACAAAAAACAAACGAAAAGTAGATCTCCTAGATATTCAATACCGAGTATGCCCTCCTCGAGCTTGAATTACAGCATTTAATCGCCGTGGCATCGAGTTGATCAGATTTCTCAAGCAGTCTTGAGGAATTGCCTCAACTTCTTCTTGAAGAGCGAATCGTAGCTCTTGAAGAGTCTCTGGCAATGCCAGACGTAGACGAATGCGCCTCTTTAGTTCATTCCAAAGATGCTCTATATGTTTGAGATCCGGGCTGCATGCTGGCCAGTCAAGCCTTAGAATTCCGACCTCATTCGAATACTCGGTTACAATTCGAGCAACGTGTTGTCAGGCATCAAGACAAAGCCGTCTCCAATAAAATGGGAATATGGGACGACAGCTTCTTGTAAAATATCCTCCACATATCTGTGGGCGTTCAAAGCACCATTTTCCACAAATACGAGGTCGGTATGTCCTTCTGTAGAAATGCCTGCCCACGCCATAACTGAACCTCCGTTGAAAGATACCCGTTCAGAGATAGTGCAGTCCGCAAATCGCTCGTTTTGTCTTCTCCATACCCTTTCTCGACCATCAGGTGATCGCAAACAAGAACGTGACTCATCGGTGAAGAGAACCTCTTTCCATTGTCGAAGTGTCCAATTTTCATGTAACCGTGCAAACTATAGTCTAGTGTTCTACGATGCCTAGGTAGCAACTGCGGTCCTGTAGCAGGTCTCCTCGATGCCAAACCATATTCTCCAAGCCTCCGCCTGATGGTTCTTTCACTAACATCAACACCTCGAACAGCGTGCAATTCATGTTGAAGCTGAACAGCTGTTTTTCGGCGATTCCTGAACGATCTAAGCGCAACAAAACGATCATCAACCCTACTTGTTGCTCTTCTTCTTCCGGATCCAGCACGCCTTTCGAATCTGCCAGTCTCCAGAAAACGATTCCAGACATATTGAACTGCAGTTCGAGGTATTCCTAATGTTCGATACACATATCGTTGACTGTGACCATTTTGAAGCAAAGCTACCACTTGAGCAACATCCGCAACAGTTAACGCCATTATTATTACCCCAAAACTGTTGTTTTTCTTTTTGACAACAATAATGACATGCCACCGTGAATCACGAACTAAAACAAAAGGTGTTGATTTGTATTATTGATTAACTGTCAAAATCACTCCAGACAATTGTCCAAGCCTGCTATTTTATTTTGAATAATCGAGGGTGACCAGTATTTTTCTGCCGGTAGAAGTGAAGTGTCAATCGACAGCAATTTTCGAAGGGAAGTATACCAAGAAAACAATGTGGAAATAAGCCATATTGATTTTGAGATGTTTTTTTTAAATTGTCGATCTATAAGTTTATGTACATACGTTCTGATGATTGTTAATAAAACTTAAAACTTCTTAAAACCCTCGTATCTTTTCTAAAAAATGAGATATCGACGTGAATCAAAAACTATTGTGATTAGAAAAGAATACTCTTCAATCCAAGACATAATGACGAGGCGTTCAACCACTCACTTCAGCCACAGGGCGTTAAGAATTTATGGGTAAATGAGTAACTCTTGTTTTTCCCTGTATAATGACCAAGCTATCAGCTTTTTTGGGAATTCATATTCAGGTTAACATTCCGGAACATGAATCTACGATTTGATCAAAATTTCACCAAAATCCGACAAGAACTAAAGAAGTTACAGGGCGAACAACTTGACTAAATTTTTTGGTGGCCGGTTCTTTTTGCCGATGAGTGTATATGAAGTTACTTCATAGAATGAAAACAATAGATTGTCATTTGCATGAAGATTGAATTTGCTTATTTCCAATTTATTAATATAATATAATTCGTCTTGTTATTAAAAATCTACGGAGCAGTTTGATATTTACAAAAATAAAATGAATCGAAAATATGTTTTCTGTTTGACGTTGCTAGGGATCACATTTCCATTTGGATATCTCTATTTAAAACCTACTTCTTTTAATAGATGTGTATTAAAGTAAGTAAAAATATGTAAATTTTCAAACCCAAGGAAGGAACGACGGGTGCGAAACCACCTGTGAAAATACAAAAAAAAACAACTAAGAATTCAATCGACTGAAATATAGTGACCCTTACCTTTCCAAAGAAAGCTGGTACGAACAAATAACAAATACTTTTCATAATAACGGATAACATAAAAAGAAAACGTCACTGTATTCAACAAAACCACTAACCAATAATTAAGTAGTTCGTTTTGAATATTAAAATACTACACCAATTACCTAACCCACACTCATTAACTACTGTAAGGTGACTGAATTAACTATTTTTGACTAGACTAGATGTAAGAAAAATCAGTATTGCACCAAATCTGACAATCACAATAACAAATACTACACAAGCACTACATAGAACTATCAATCAATCATTTCATTTGAGAACCAGATCAAGAAGTAACAGTGCAACAGGTTGGCAAATCGGAAAAATGCATTTCTGAAAAAGCACGCCATGGTTTGAAAAAAAAACTGGCCTATTCGCGAGATTCACGAAGTGGGCGGCATCTAGGTTACATAATACGAACTCCAAACTGGGGGAAAACAAACTGTTGTCTATGGATAAAGTGCATAGACTACATTGCATTCAGCTTGCTGTAGCTGTAGTCAAACTTGTCAATGACATAAAGTGTTGGCACTGTTGGTAGTGATGATGGTTGAGTTGGTCAATTTTTTTACATCATTAAATTTCTATTAGTTTAGTGAACAGTGAACGGGTGAAGAATTGGAGATAGTTCAAACGATTCAAACTAATTATGACGAGCAAATCAATTGACATACAATACAAATCCATTGTTCTACAGGAGTTCCTCTGGACACCAACTTCAATTTTACTTCATGTGGGGAAGATTTCATCGCCGAAGTTTGTAGATGAAGTGCAAATATGTGCCTTTTGTTGAAGTCTTCTGCCTCACACAAAATCACATGATTAGCACGGAGAACTACTTCTACTTCCACTACTGGTCGGCTTTCTCCGTCTAAATAAAGCAAAATATCTGCCAAATGAACATCTACAACAGACATTATTAGCGTTTTCGATCGAATAATGACAACTAATGTCAAGAAATTCAAAAACTTATCAGTACACAGTACACAAGCTAATGGTACTAATGGGATTGAGTGAGGATTGAGTTTGTTTTCCTCCAGTTTTGACGTGGCTTTGACATGGAACTACGAAAACCGAGCGCCACCTGGTAACATTGCTTCCCGCGAATTGAAAAATATCACCTTATATTCATACGGCAGTCAAACCGTGAATGCTTGAAGAATCAACATTCCCGGAAAAAGTGATCAAAAGCATTCTGAATTTCACATTGTTAACTACCAAATATACAGAGTGTCCCATAAGTAATGGATCAAAAGAAGTGGGTGGTAGAAGGGCTCATTTGAAATCAAACTAACGGTATATGTTGTTATCAAATTGTTGTTGGTTCAAAAGTTATTCAATTTTTATGAAAAATGCGACCCATTCGAAAAAAAAATTATAACAAAATGGCTGTTTTCAATTACCCCATATGGTATACCATTTCGGAATCTGTATTAAATGGGCAACATTTTCTTATGATTAGTTATTTTTGTGGGGCAGTTTTTAAATCTGCCAGCGGCATTTATAAATGACTAATAGTAGATTGTTTTATTAGGATCAAAAGTGACACTTTGTTTGACAAGCGAATTTTGCATTTGCGAGGCGAGCGTTCAGCGAAGCCGAGCGAAAGCAAAATTTGCGAGTCGAACAAAGTCACTTTTGATCCGAATGAAACATGCTATTTTTTCTGCAACCGAAACAATTAACTCAAATAAACATGTGAAGTAACCACCAATGCCGTGCCATATGTATGCAATGCAACAAATATTGATAAATAATCCATGTGGCGAGAATATTCTACCTGCATTAACAGCAGGTTAGGTTTTCTAGGATATTCGAATTGTAGTTTCAATATAAATACAACTACAGAGTGACATATTTGTGTATGGACCAGGTGCTCTTATGGCAAATACCGCGCCAGTGCCAGCTATAGGAACAAGACGTGGAAAATGTTAGGTTAGTGAGCATATCAACAATGATAATAGTGATTATTTTTATTCCTCTCTACTACACTGTGTTTCACTTAATGAACAAATGAAGCTAAACAATATCGTTGTTTGAGATAAAAAAACTATTGCTTGCCGTGATTATTCAAAAACAAGTTATCCATCCCGAGAATAACGAATGAAATACAGATCAAGCAAATATTTGAATCTTGAAGGCTTTCCTGATCAAAACAAAAATACTTAACTGAGATGTTCATAATTCCAATACTAAACTACATATAATAAGGTGTATTTATATCTCCAGCATGGGTATGAAATGCCAAATCTGCTGAAATCGGAAACAAATCAGGTATGCGTCTCAACCCAAATAACCAACCGTCACGTTTATTCTTGATGACGTCCAGTACATCCTTTTTAGTTCCTAGGAGCTAAAGTTCAACTTTAGCTCCTAGGAACTAGAATTCAACTTTAGCTCCTAGGAACTAAATATGTTGCCTATAGCAACATACCTATTTTTGTGTCAGTAATAGAAACGTCAATTTAAGAGCTAATTTTGGTATCAAAATGGACGACTTTTGTGTCGGTTGCAGAAAAAATATTTCATTCGATGACAAAACTCAAGGAAAACGAAATTTTTCTCAGGTAATTGATAAAAAGTAATACGTGTCGTTAAATTATTCCTGGGGAGGTGCATCCAAGTTGATGAAATTTGTAAAAAAAATCACAAATGATTGTACTTAATTCTTTTCATAGAAATGAAAAAATATTAATAACTTTTGGACCATCCCACTTCTTTTGATCCATGACTTATGGGATAGCCTGTATAGAGGTATTCTGATTTTCAACCAAATCGTTTCTCCTTGATCTTCTGTTCCAATTTTGGTAATATTGGGAATTTCAGAATTATTGATATCTACTACTACTACTACTAAATCACAAAGATGTGTACATGTATACAATGTATACGTACAATAATCAGTAGTCAAAATTATAGTATATCACATTAAAAAAGTTGTAAAACGCATATTACCCACAAAGTAGAGAGAGTTACACACGATGCCGCGTAAGTTCTTAATTGCTTTACAACTCGAATAATGTACTATACTTTTTCTACGACTACACTATACTTCCTTCAGGATATTGTGTTAAGATACAAATATCGAATACATCTCCCGTCACTTTGAGCTAACTGCATGAAAAAGGTACAAAAATTACAATTCTTGCATCTGTTTATTGAAGAATTGCATAACAAGCCATTTCTCTCAATTTGAACTAGACTGAAGCCGTATTTTTCATATCTTAACAACTGTATTGATAACAAAAATCACATTTGATAAACATATAAAATAGTCACTGTGCCGTATTTGAAACAGAATATTTTCCGAAAATGACACGATATTTATTCCTGAGTTTCCAGCCTTGGATTTTTTGTAACCGATTTCGTATCTTTCACGAGACTTCCAGAATTTCTGATGGTATAGAAATAATCTCATCGTCATCGCTGGACATTTTTTACTTTACAATAGTAATCGTAGGAAGAAATATTTTGCAGGTAGACATTCTTGAACAATATAAAGTCTAATTTAGAAATACCTAGTTGTGCAAAAAGTCACATTCTGGACTGCCATTCATTCAATATCAACATGAAACATGACAATTAATTCCACTGTTTTGCGCACACGCACAATCATATTTAATATTTAAGACAATATCGATGATTCTTTCGTATTTTTGGACGTTCATTTAATCACAAAAGTTACACGAAATCAATAAATTTCGATTTGTTGAGGGCGCAGCAACCTATAATTTAATCTCACTGTGAAAATTGGCAAACATTGGCACTTGACATTTTTCCTTTCCATTTCTATCAAGTATATGATACAGGTAATTATGCCCATCCTGTACATCATTTCTTCGCTTTAATTCCCTCCTTTGGCCAATGCGCTGATTTTGGAACTTTATCCATGGAATTTTTCAAAGACATTCCATATTTAAAATTATATCAGACCAATCATGTTTTATGACAAAGGTGTGCAAAACGATCGATTGGTCAAACAATTCGACACAAAAATTTGTATACAAGGTGTTGAAATGTTGAGAACAGAATTTAAACAACACATTATATCATGCAGAAAAGCATTAGAGAACAACTTGGGAAAATGGAAAGGATATTGAATGATATTTTTTTTAGATTCCGAAACTCAGGCTAAAATGACACAAAGAATCATTTCTGTTCGTGTATTGTTTACCCTTTTTTTATACCGGAAATTCCGAACGAGTTTTGGTAGAAAGTTGTTCGAAATTTTTCAAGGTTAACGACGACATACCGGACCAAATTTCGTACGAATCGCACGACTAATAGCTAAGATATAGAGAGGGGGCAGTGAGACATGCTGTATATCCCCCCAAAAATGTGTCTATCTCTCGTTGAAATTGTGTGTCCCACTTACCATGCTCACCATGGGTATCTTTTCAACGGTGAGAGATACGAGGTCGGTTAAATGACACCAAATGTGGAGTTTGTCAAGGCCAACTATAATGAAACAAATATTTTGATTAAATCTATTCGTTTTTGTTTTATACGCAAAAAACAGATTTTGATCATTTTCATGTCTCCTCCATAACTTCTTTATCTATGAAAATATTCAAATAGGAATTTCACATTCTCATGGCAGTTTTTCAAAGTGATTTCGAAAAAAATATGAAATTTATACCAACTCTCCTAGAATTTGAGATTGCAGCACCAACTTTAGTTTTTCAAATGTAGGTCATAGCTCACTATATGACATAGTTACAAATAACTTTTTTTTCTCTTACAGATGATATGTCGCAGTTATAGTTTTGTGTTGATAACAACGGAGTTATCGTCATTTATACAAAAACAAAAAAATCATTTGGGAGCCGCCATCTTGAATTCATAAATTTCAACAAAAAATCATGATCTCCGACCTCAAAAACCCCCACTTACCAATTTTGAATGGAATCGGACCAAATTTTGTCCGCCATCTTGGAGCAGCCATTTTTTTTAATCTCAAAAAAAATTCCATAACTCCGATTAACTTGAAATTTGGCAGGTGTTCACAATTTCGGTGACAATACATTATGGAATTTTTGTTGAAATTAAAGAAAATGGCTGCTCCAAGATGGCGGACAAGATTTGGTCCGATTCCATTCAAAATTGGTAAGTGGGGGTTTTTGAGGTCGGAGATCATGATTTTTTTGTTAAAATTCATGAATTCAAAATGGCGGCTTCCAAATAATGTTTTGTTTTTGTATAAATGACGATAACTCCGTTGTTATCAACACAAAACTATTACTGCGACATATCATTTGTAAGAGGAAAAAGAGTCGTAACTAAGTCATAGTGAGCTATGACCTACATTTGAAAAACTAAAGTTGGTGCTGATATCTGAAATTCTAGAAGAGTTGGTATAAATTTCATATTTTTTTTTAAATCACTTTGAAAAACTGCCATGAGAATGTGAAATTCCTATTTGAATATTCTCAAAAATAAAGAAGTTACGGAGGAGACATGAAAATGATCAAAATCTGTTTTTGCGTATAACACAAAAACGAATAGATTTTATCAAAATATTTTTTCACATTATAATTGGCCTTGACAAACCCCACATTTGGTGTCATTTAACCGACCTCGTATCTCTCACCGTTAAAAAGATACCCATGGTGAGCATGGTAAGTGGGACACACTGTATAGTTTCTCCACACTTCGTCTCGTCTCTAATAACGCTATCAGCTAGAGACACGCTAAATTCACATTGCACAAAAAATCGCAAGAAACCCGACTCGTGGCCCACGTTTCTACCCTTTTACGCTTGCACATCTTCAGACTCCAGCAAATGTTGCGCCTCGATGCCGCTATTTTGGAACGTTTGCGGAAACCGTTTATTTAGGGCGGCCGCCGTCCTGATATTCTGACGGACTTTTATGATGTACAGGGTGAGGCCGGCCGCCAGGCCTACGATTATCAGAGCGAGCAACACTCCGCCTACTAAAAGAGAGAAGAGGAATTATCATTTAGAAAGAGATGGAAATAGTTGATAGGGAGTGCCAAGCGTGTTCAGTGCGTGAGTTAAAGATGTCAGTGAAAATACACACACTGGCACAATTAGGGGAACGAGCAAAATTTACACTAAGTTTGACATCAATTTTCTTTCGAACCGATCGCTCGATTCAAATTTTTTTCTTCACGAAATGTAGCTTCATTCTTCGCGAATACATCTGAGAAATAATTACCTTCAAACGATGAGTCTTTCCATCATATACAGGGGTGTAAAGAAAGTACGGATTTTTCGGTATTTTTTTAGACATCCTGTGGACTGAACCACTGATAATTGAAACGATTTCTCAACACCAAATTGGAGCCCAATCTATTCCGAATATTTCCGTTTTTTATTCATCTTGATATCTCAATTATTCAAGAAAATACAGAGTTTCAAAGGAAAGGTGGATATTGGTATCAATTTTACACCTCAAAACTCAAATTGGATCTGAAAATGTGTCGTTTCTTGACTAACCTAACCTAACCATGACTAAACCTCTGCCATAGGAGACAGAAGCAGTAAAATCAAATTGTTCATTTTGTTCACCTCGGCGATATAGTCTTTCCCTGCCATCTATTGAATTGGTGCAGATATGCGGCTCTCATATGTTAAAAGAACATTGGCCCACTGGTCATTTTCAATTAATGCTACAGCCCTCGCCACATCAGTAGGAGTCAAATCTCTCACGTTGAATTTTCATCAATCAAATTTATGAATTGTGAATCGCTTGACTTTGACAATAATTAATGACATTAACAAAATAGCCAACGTTGATTAACAAAAATAGCATTTCACCAAAAGAACATTGGAGCAACTTTTATCACCCCTGCATATTCATGAGAGTATTCGTATATGTGTCTTTAAACAGTAAACCGATAGGTGAAACTGTGAACAATTCTCATCTTGGAGTAAAAATCCTCACAGAAACAAGTTAAAAAACGACACGTTCTCCCCAGTTCGAACTTGGTAAAATTGATACCAATATCCACCTCTTCTTTGAAACTCTATATTTTCTTGGATAATTGGGATATCAAGATGAATGAAAAACGAAAATATTCGGAATAGATTAGGCTCCAATTTGGTGTTGAGAAATCGTTTCAATTATCAGTGGTTCACTACACAGGATGTCTTAAAGAATACCGAAAAATCCGTACTTTCTTTACACCCCTGTATATGATATAAAGACGAATCGTTTGGATGTGGTTATTTCTCAGATGTATTCGTGAAGTATGAAGCTACAATTCGTGAAAAACAAATTTGAATCGAGTGATCGGTTCGAGAGAAAATTGATGTCAAACTTAGTGTAAATTTTACCCGTTCCCCTAATTGTGCCAGTGTGTGTATATACTCTGGGTTATTTATCAAGCCCTATATTAACGATATTTTTTCATGGCAAAAAAAAAACAATATGCAGAAGTTGAATGTTGCAATGAGGCCTTTCCACAGCCCTTATCAGAAGTTTTACAGGGTGATCCCTAAAAGCGTGACAAACCACAAATATTTTTTTTAATGGAACACCCTGTTCTTCATCTTTTTTTCGGAATCTGTTGATTTTTGCGAATACAAATATATATACAAGGTGTTTTTGAAATAAGTGCACATATTCAGCATATTAATATGTTACAGTCTAAGGAATACTCTCATGATATCAGATTTTTCCTAATTCTTCTAATTAACGAGAAATTTCATCCCAACGATTGAACAAAATACGAGAAAAAAATCAAGTACGCCACTTTAAAACAATTTAAAAGATTGAACTCCGCGTGATTGTGCTTACCGCATAGAAATTTGAACAGAGGTGACGTCAGATTTGCTACAGTGTAGAAATTTGGATGGAAAAAGGGGTCTAACCTCAAATTTTATCTTGATCCCTAATTTTTTTATCAGTGCCATTCGATAGTACACGACGAGCTTTCTCAGTGTTTGAAATATTTGCACTTATTTCAATGCCACCCTGTATAGGGGTGGGCCGATTCGATGGATAACCCTGTGTACAAAAGTCGAGTGCAAACAAATCGCAGAGTAAGTGCCACACAATATGATTTTATTTTAGGAGGGTGATATCATGATTAAATCTAAATTGTAACATAGGGCTTGGTTTCGAATGTACAGGGTCATTTCGTATATTCAAACAGCTTCAAAATATTTTGTACTGAATCAAAATGTCATTTCAATCATCTGGTTAGATAATTCCTACGATTGCCGGAAATTAGATATTTATACACCAAGTGAAGATTATCATTATTACCACCCAGGGCTTCAGCCGAGAAGTTATAAGGTCCCGTGGTTATAATATTCTTCACTACCAAGGTTTATATTCAACTTTTTTCACCACTAGTAATATATTTCAATCATTCAACTTCTGTGAAACCGAAATATAGACCTATTGTCATTATGAAAGCACTTATTCTCAATTCTTAGCCGTGACAGCATATGACATTGATGAATACCTACTAGATTCCAGTGCCATTCCTGCCAATCTCTAATCAGAACAGTGCATTCTGGTTAATAACAGAGCTGGCTCGAAAAAAGGAAAAATGCGCATCGTAATAGATGTTTTGAAAGGCATTCATTTCATGAATAGTAGGGCACGAATTAGCAGAAATGAACTTCAATTATTTCGTTAATAATTGTTTCAACACCCAAAATGCCCTGGATCTACCGCCTGTGTTTGAAAACAATTCATTATAATATACATTTTTTATATATACCTATTTATTCTGTATGTTTGTAACTTAATCGAAATATGTGAATTATGCTATTGAAATAATTCAAATTTTCCTAATTTCATCAATGTATAAAATATATATAGATGTGGCAGCGCTGTATTGGCGTGTTTACTACGAGTTACGCATATTTTTCTTAAAGTCATTCTCGTATGTCAAAATCCGACGTTACAATGTTGTTGTGCTGTGTTTGTTACCATTTTAGAACTTTTTCTATTTTTTCAATTGATTTGTTTTCTTGTTATTAACCTATGTCGAGACAATTTTTTTATTATGATTTGCCATTGCGTGGATTGTGAAAAAGTTTACCATTCAAACCCCAAATTGGTATTTCGCTGGCACGGTTATGTTTCTTTCAACTTGAACAGTGGTGTACTTATCGCAAGTTATTTAACTAAATCATTGTGTGAAACCTTGTTTTTTTTGTCCAAATTCCACTGAATGATGATTCAAAATCAGGTAAGTGTTTACGGTACTACGAATATATGGTATTTAAATTAAAAGATTATACCCAAACATGTTCAAATAGGTAAAATAGCGTTTTCATTGTAGTAAAATTGTCTTACACACGCCTTGCTCAACCTACGTGACTGGTGAAAAAAAGTATGAACATTGACGGATAGTTTACAGTGTTGCCAGTTTTTAAAGCAATATCCTTCATTCTTATTTTAAACTTTTTAACTATGTATAATTGTTAAAAAATATAGTGTTATGAATGAAATGCTATGTCTTCCCCCACTAAAAGCGACACAGACCAAAAATACGAGACAACACACCCTGACACCAACAAAAGAAAGTATTGGAGTAAAAAACAACACAACACACAACTTCACACCCACGAAAGAAAGTATTCCAGCCAAAAAAAAAACAGATACTCGCACACACACAAAAAAATACTCCACACTCCACCGACAACTCCCACTCCTACTCCATACCTCCCGCCTCCATCGACCAAAACGTCTACAATATTCCCCATCAAGCCATTAATGGACCTAGCAAGCAATCTGAGTATCTCAGTAAAGAGATTGTACAGGTCAACGGTGCCAAATAGCGTGACGCAATGGCGTCTTTTGATGCACAAAACCAACCAAAAGCAACACCAAGAAAAAAAACAACACACACCCTCACACCCACAGAAAAAATATTCGAGCAAAAAGCAACACATCCTCACACCCACAAAAGAAGGTACCCAGCAAAAAAAACCATCACAACACACACCCACAAAGCCACCAAAAAAAAATTCAACACTTACCGACAACTCCCACTCCTACTCCATACCTCCCGCCTCCATCTACCAAAATGTCTACAATATTCCCCATCGAGCCGTTATTGGCCCGAGCAGGCAATCTGAGTATCTCAGTGAAGAGATTGTACAGGTCGACAGTACTAAATGGCGTGACGCGATGGTGTAGTTTGATGCGAGGTCCACGCGCCATGAAGAAGGGATGCATGTCGACGACGTCGTTGTCGTAGCCGTGGACGCCGAATTCCGAAGTGTTCGTCACTAGAACAACGTAGAGTTCCGAAATGTACCCGGTGAACAACTAAGAACAGCTGTCATATCTATCATTCTTCCAACTTTGATAGTCAATATCTTCCGCTGGCGAAAAGCTATCATGTTGCGGTTTTCGTTGGTCTGTTGAGATTTAGTTTCTCTATTACATCGTTTTATAATATGCATATGCATACCATTATTTTTATCCTATCTCAAACTTGTATCATTATTTGTTGCTGAGATATGGCCGTTCTTAGTTGTTCACCCTGTACTTGACACTGCTGTTTTGAAGTTTTTTTGTATATTAAGCCAATATTCCGAATTCAATTGGTCAGTACTGTCAGAGATTAGCCACCCACGCTGAAAGTCTGTGTTCCTAAATATAAAATCAAAATTACAGTGCTGTAATTCGGAACACGTTTTCATGATTTTCATCAGTAACCAACATATCAGTTGATCAGCTGGTGAAATTTGAATATTATTTTCAGCGTCAATTATTTTAATAGCAGGCATTTTCTGATTATTATCAATTCATTATTGATAAGACAAGGCCTAATGTTTAGATATATAAATGAATTTGAAATTCCTTCTCTGTCTGAAATAATGACAGTTCACTGAAGCCACACTACCTTTCAATAGTCAGCAATTTCAGCAGAATGTTGAGTCGAAATATTTGGAATGAATAGTATTTCTGTTCACAAGTTTCTGTCACTTTCAGTGAATTTTTTCGATTCCGGAACGAAAAATCAGCAGATTCAGTACTGTCAGTTGAATTCGGAATATAGCCTAAGAGTACGGACACTATGACAAGCACTGACAATCAGACATAACCACAAATAAATTGATGATAAAAGGGGGAACTGACAGTACACGGACGTACATGACATAAATTTCAAAGGTTTGACAAATTGAGATCAATCAATCAATCAGTATGTTGCCGGGGTAGCAACCGGGTGGGACCAAATCCCACCCCTCTCTCACAAGACTCCCATAGGGGATGACTGCCGATCACCTGTCTTTCGACTTATACCGACAGCACCTCTGGGAGAAATGAAGGATTTGGATACGCCATATCTGCGCGCTAGAGCCATCTCCGTTATGTAACGGCATGTGCTCCTGCTTCCATTTTGTTATACCTATGGTGAGGCCGTCTGATTAGACAGACTACTGGCTCTGCAGTGTCAGTGCTCGAGCAGAAAACTCTGCTCACCCGCCGAGGCAGGCAATATATCCTCCCACTTGACCCATGATGGGATTTTTCTTCACCTCCTCTACCGTAGTCCGGTGGTGTTTTTGGAAACCGCTGCCCCCTGGAGTCCAACCCAATTGGTGAGGCATCAGGCCATATGTACGACCTGATGGGGCTATCCTCATCACCCCAGGTACCCATGTCAACAAGATTCCTCTTCTTACGTTTGATGGGTCGCCATCGCAAGAGGCTTTCGCCTCGTTGCTACTCATGTTGACAAGCATCCTCTCGTCCCGTTGAATGAGTGATCGTTCGAGGACTTTTTCACCACGTTCCTCTACCTCGTTTACAGGAGAGGACCCGGCTTTACCTATGATGTCTGGCGATAGGATCGCTTGGGGCTAACCCCTCCCTGACGAACTAAGGCACAAGGTACACCAAAGTTCCAGTTTTCGCTGAGCAAGCCCAGCTACCCATGTCGACCAGAATCCTCCAATCACGTTTGAAGGGTGTCCGTTCGCGGCCTTTTACACGTTCCGCTACCATGACAAGAGTGGAGACCTCGAGCTTTTAACCAGTGGTGTCTGGAATCACCTGAGGCTACCCCCACCTCGACACCGTGAGTACATGGTGGGCCCACGGCCGCAAATTGAGAGAACTGTGAGAACACGAGAAATCAACTCAATCTATTCAATAGAATCGGATCATAATTACAAAACTCGTCCGCCATATTGGATCCGCCATCTTGAATTTCCAAATTTTGTTGGAAGAACCATAATCTCCGACCCCGAAAACCGCCAGAAACCATTTTTGAATAGAATCGGGCCATAAATCAAAAACTCGTCCGCCATATTGGATCCGCCAGTTTGAATTTCCTAATTTTGACGAATAAATCATAATCTCCGACCCCAAAAACCACCAGAAACCAATTTAGAATTAAATCGGACCATAATTAAAAAACTCGTCCGCCATATTGGATCCGCCATTTTGAATTTCCTAATTTTGACGAATAAATAAAATTATAATCTCCGACCCCGAAAATATCAAGATACCAAATTTGAATAAAAGCAGAATACAGAACTCGTTGCCAGCTTGGATTTTTGATTAAAAAAATATATAATGACTCAATCTCATACCTATGGAAGAGAATTTTATATATTAGATGATACCTTCCAAAAAGCATACTGGGTGAAATCATGTCTGAAAATCAGTCACTACCTGCCAATCTATTATTGAGTCTCAAGTAATGAAGGTTCATTTGGTAGGTAATAAGTTGAAAAGTCCGACCCCTATTTACCATGCTCATTGCTCCTTATGGCATGTTTTTGTATTAGATATATTTGAGGAGCTGAACACCAGACATTTATTCCAAACCTGAGGATTCATCAAATAAGGGAACACTGTTTTCCTGTTAATTAAAATTAGATGATTCTCACAATACAAATTGCATTCATTTGAATCTGAAATTACAAGGATTTGTGTTGATGGACTTACATGTAAAATTATAAAATTTTGCATATTTGGGAGCTGCAACTATCAGGTCATCTAGGGCATATCCCTCATCAGCCATTATTAAAATTGGTGGTGATCTGGGATTCTTTTTATAATGCCATCTCTTGAGGTAATCCTCTTTTTTGTACACTTTGAAGTGACCATTGGTCACTGAAGCCTCTTTCAAGGAATTGTAAATATTGTCTTCATAACCTACAAAACACATTTACAATAGAGGGGAATTTTTAGTGCATATCAGAAGCAATAATTATTTTTATATTCTCATTTAGTTTTGATAAATGACCAACAAAATCAAATTGTTTCAATTTGTTGCTCACCAGCATTAGGAGTAATTTGTATACAGGGTGTAGCTCCTGCCCACTCATAGGTTCCATTTTTAATATACTGTGTGATATTGATAAAATAAGGTGGAGTAACAGAAATCATACCATGGTCACTTAGATGAATGACATTAGCTTTTTCAGTCAATTTGTGCTCTTCTAATTTTTTCTAGAACAAAATATATACAACCAAATTGAACATCTGAGTCATGTAAATTCCCTAACTTCTGTTGACACTTTTTAGAGAAATTACCTCCAAATAGGCAGTAACATTGTCAAGTTTTTGTAATAATTCATGAACAGTATTAGAGTTTGGACCAAAAGCATGCCCATGGGTATCTGGTTCTTCTATGTAAAACATTACCAAATTGGCTGGCTTTTCTGAGTTTGTCAGCCATGATATCAACTAAAATAGGACAGAAGAGGTTAAATGAAAATATATTCCCTAAAATCTCTAAAACTTACTGTATCTACTCTGCTGAACCAATCAACACTGGCATTGAATGATTGTCTGTAAGTTATGTTCTTTCCCTGATAAGGAAAATCAGCACCAGGCCACATCATTGTTGCTGAATGTCTACCATCTCCCTGGTCTTCATTCCACCTCTGAAATGGAAATCCAAAACACATTCACCCCTATGCCAATAATACTTATTTCCAGACTTATTTCAACCATTTTTTGTACTCACTGGTCATTATATGGTGGTAATAATGTTTTTAGTTAATTTAAAACACTTTTACAGAGAATAAGATTTCCACAAAATTCTCTAAACCACAACATGTATTGCTGACAGAACCATTTTAAGTAAAATACTTATTAAAAATACAGTAAATAATATTAACCAATACAGGTATGTTTTATCAATGGGCAATCTGTGCTTATAGTCTTCATAATAGTAGGTACATCCTAACTTTGATAAACCACTTTGTTTTCATAGATTAGTAAATATATTATGAGCTTACCCAAATTGGTATTACATCATTGCTGTAGTTATACATTTCGAATCCCATTTTAACAACTTTGAGGGACTTTTGGTCTACATAGGTGTTGCCTATAACTCCATGAACTTCAGGATACAATCCTGTCGCTATGGAATGATGATTAGGAAATGTTTTAGTAGGAAAAACATTGACCAAGTAGTCTGAGTATGTCCCATTGAACTTCAGCCTTTCCATATTGGGTACCAGTTTGGTATCAAAGAAATTGTACCTGAAAGCATCGTATGAGACGACGATTAGGATGGGGTGGTGTGATGCTGAAAATGCCGAACTTGCTAACAAACATAACACCAGAATTTGTATTTTCATTCCAAACTAGTATTTATTTTTATTTTTTATATTTTTCCGACTTCTTTTTTTTCGAACTGACATGGAACAAGACTAACAAGAGTTATATTAATCAGTGATGCCAGCTTTTCAATCTGAGAACACAACCGTAGTGTTACCTAGAACAAGCGTCTATACACACCGAAGGCTCTCCGCATCCGATGATGTCCGATCATGGTCGGACGTCGCCGCTGATGCAGAGCACGCGCCAAATTTGAAAGCATAATAATATCCATGAGTATCAAGTGATCGAGCGTAATGTTTTGGAAAAATTATGCAAAATATTTTTTTCTTTACGAATTTACTTTGAGAAACAAATCATTGCGAGAGCTAAACATTGCAAAGGCCTCACATGTTTTTTTTTTATATCAGGACAAGATTGACAAAATAAACACAACTTATTTACTTATTAATTTATTGATTTTGGTGGATACATTAGGTTTATTGCAATATCATCGGCGTCCATATCATCTGCATGGATTAATTTATTACTTGAACGTTTATTAGGAACAGCTTTTTTTGTTGTTCTGTATAAACGTCTCTGTTGAATTATTTTTTTATTTTGAGGCGTTTTGTATTGTAAATTGTCCGGAAATGCCATATTGGTTTTCTCCCTCCTCATCGCTATGAATGTAGGCTGTACGGGTGCAGTGAATCTCTGAAATGTGCGCAATTCATCATGTGACTCAATACTATCTACGAGTTTGATGAGTTCAAGTTTGAATTTTTCTTTTTCGCAATTCAGCTCATTGGTTTCTCTTTTTTCTCTTAATCCTTCCAGAATCTTCTGTTGGCCAGAATCACAATCAAAGCTCTCTTTGATTACTAATAAATTTCTCTCATCTACAGGAAAGAATAAAAAGGTATAGAGGTACCAAATGTCTGCACATCTAGAAACGCCTATATGAGCATCAGGGCAATAACCTTATATATGGAAAATGATCACAGTATATAGCCACCAAGCAAAATACCTGAAAAAACCTATTAATTCTTTAGGATTAAAAGTAATTCGATAAAATGTTCATGTGCTACGCACATTTTGAAAAGTTGCAAATTGTGGATACTTGGGCCTGTACGGGCCCCAATATTCTGACATTTTTTTGGACTCAATATAGATATAATAGCTAACAATAAGTAATGCATACAAGGTGGTCCATCAATAACTTGACATAAGGTATAAATGATAAAATATAATGATAGTTCTCGATGGGCCACCTCTTGTATACTTTACACAAGTATATAAAAGTAATGGTTGAATAATAAAATATGTGAAATGTAAAGAAAGACATGTGCCTAATGTCCCTCATTCGCGAAAAACGCTCTTTAGAGGACTTTTCCGAGAAATCTTCTAAAGGTGCTTTTTTCCATACTCACTACTCAAACTACTATTATGGATCTACGAAATACGAAATAGTTATTGGACAGGAATTGAAACACATTCTCATTGAATAAATTAACCAATAAAATCACAATACAAAATAATATTAAAATACCCAAAACCAGACTACCTAGAACCAATTGAAAATATATACATATGGTTTTACCTTGAATGCAAATATGCGAATTCTGAAACAGGATAAATGAAAATTTTATGATAATGGCAAATCACAATTTATAGGTATACAGGGTGTATCTAAATATCACCGAAAAAATTCAAGGGGCGATTCCTTGTGATATGTTTAGAAATAAAGTTCATATAAACATGTGTCCTAACTTATTGTTTCGTTTTCGAGATACAGGGTATTGATATTTCCATGAAAAATCCTTTTCTATTCATTTCTCAATTGTCTTTTCATCAATTTCAATAAAACGTTTTGGTTTTGTTAATAGTAATATGGAGCTTCTTCTGGTGCAATTAGATTCGAAATAATATTTCCAGTGGCGTCACAGTGGGTAAAATTTATGGATATTCATGGTCGTGAATCTCATTGTACGTCACCGGTTTTTCTGAGTTTCATATTTTTATTAGATTGAACTATTGAAATAACAACTTTTTTATCTTCAGTGTGATTTTTGTATCTAGCTGAGTTTCTGAGGAAACTATATAAAAATTCGATTTGACTCCAAATTTCAATGTAGGTTTTTTCAAGACTTCCATTGAGATTGCTCAATAACACCAATTAGAATCATTTTGAATTTTTGGGGCTTTCTCAGTCTCTATCCATACTGAATTTTGGCACCATGAAAGCTTATACAAGGGGGTTATAAATAAAAACAATTAATACTTCCAACTTCAACATCCTGTATCTCAAAAACGGAGAAAGTTAGGACACATGTTTATATGAACTTTATTTGCTAGAATGTCACAAGGAAACACTCCTTGAATTCTTTCGGTGTTATTTAGATACACCCTGTATATATTGGTTTATATGAAAATATTTAATTCATTGATTTCAATATTAATACTAATATACTATTATTTTTATACCTAGTATAGTGATGAAAATATACAATAATACCAATAATTATCATTATTATTATTTTGAGAATGATTGTGATAATGACAATAATCATTAAAAATATACCTATTTCTGCTGTCAAATCAGTGTCTATATCAGGATCAGGATGAACAGAATCAATATCTTGTTTTTTAATTATATCAATATGATGCTCCTTCAATGACCTGCAAACTAAATGTATGTGTTTGCACATATTCCACTTGATACATGAATCTATGCATGTGCAGGAATAGTGGTGGAGACAAATTCGGCATTCAGTACAAACTAATTTGCAGGTACAATTTGGTTGTCTTTCTTGAACCAGATAGATTTCATTTGTTGATGATGATGGTACTCCAAATCCTGAATCCGTTTCAATCACACGTTTAGCATCTAATGTTTCACTTGCTTTATGCCTATTTCTCAGAACTTTGATTTTTGTACAAATTTTTCCTTTACCCATTACAATCAATCTTTCAAACAACTTGTCAGGTATGAATTTCATTAATATATTTATAGCTTTATCTAGCCTCTTTATAATTCTTCCATTCAAATAGATATGTTTTAGGGTTCTATGCATTCTTTCTAAATGCATATTGGTATTGATACCACAATTTATTCGATAACAATAAGCCCATGACTGTACATTCTTCAAATAATATTCTTGGAAATATACACCAAACTCCTTTGTGTCAGAATTAGAAAATAAAAATTCAATGAAATTAGTACACATTTGTGTGAAACCATTTGCATCCCTTTCATGGAGTAATGTTCTTAGCATTTTGTATACCATAATCTGAAAATAATAATCATATATAATAAAGTACCTATATGGATGAAAATGTCACAACTCTATAAGAAATAATCATGAAAATATTTGAGTACTTGTTTCTCTTTTGTGTTGATTTTGTTCAAATTTTTTCTCCAAGCTCGATCAACATGCCAAGTGCAAAACAACCTGTAACACATATTAAAAAAAAATAGAACAAAATTAATATTGCTGTCAATGAGATAAAATCCCCCATACATACAAATACAGAATAAACATACCGATATTCTACAGGCCCCATTATTTGGAGCCAGGCATTATAAAATGACTGTGCCATATCAGACATGAATATTTTGGGCTGTAAATTTCTTCCTAGCTTATTTTTTATGACAGAAAAAAAAATTTGCATTACAGCCTCATCTGTCCTATTTGAAATTAAAAATGCAGAAGGGAAACCTTCCCTCATATCATCCAAAACAAGTAATGTCACTAACTCAAACTCATATCCATTGAGCCCATGGGTTCCATCTATACAAATAACATCACTGCTGTATTTTTCTAGCATATCTGCCTGGCCTTGATTCATTATGATTAGTAAAAAATCTTCATTTTTCAGGAGCGGATATGTTGCAGATAAAGTATCTTGTGGTTTATAGAATAAAACACATATATCCTCAACTTCTCTCACCCAGGCATCAACGCTCACAGCATCATTCACATGCCTCACTGCTTCATTGTTCAGATTAAAACACTGTGCAATATTATATAAATCCTTCTTAGTAAGGAGGTGCATTCTCTCCAGTTTATCTCCTGAAAGACATTCATCTCTTACTTCATCAAGGATGGTTTGAAAAGGAATTTTAGCTGCAATTTTGGCAGCTATAGTGCCTCTCTCAGTTTTACTCAGAGTTATGTGTGCAAAATCTTGATTATGGCCAATATGAACATTTACAAACTCAACTTCACATTTTCCATTATTCAGTACCTTGAGTGATATTTCAGCTGGGCAAAATCCATCAATTTTATTGCTGCCTTGTACCTTTAAATGTCTCTTCCTGGATTCTGCAGATTTATATGTGCCAGATCGATGGCAAATGAATTTTTTTTTTGTATAATTTTCAGAAGAATAGGATCCATGTTCATTAACAAACTTACTTTTTGTTTCTTTTTCTATCTCAGTTTTCCAGGAATAAAATTCATCTTCATTGGGGAAACTGATGTTTTCAGTTTTGAATTTTTCTGCCTTAGTATCCTGTGAGATATCATGAGACTCATGAGAGTATTGGTGAAATATTTTCATATGCCGATTCAAATTTGCTACTTTTGATAAAGATTCACCACATTCATGGCACAGGACAGCTTGGCTGGATTTCCTTTTTTTAGGAGCTATTTCATCCAGTGTATCTACGAATAATATACGATTATTTACATTCATTTTTATTATACTCCATTCACAGACTCCATAGGAGACTTCATCCTTGTGAAATGTTAATACCTAATAATATAGGTATCTTAGCTTAGCTTAATACTGACCAGGATGAAACTTTCTTGCATGTTCCCTTAAGCTACTGGCGTTGTGAAACGATTTATTACAAATGGGGCACCAAGTCATTCTGGAAAAACTCAAAAAAATACACTAAATCCAAATCCACACAAGTACAAAACAAGTTGACAATCTGTATATAACCACAAATAATAAAAAGTAGCTGGGTGAAAATCAAACGCGCGCGAAAGGCAGCTGCGAATGATCCGAAGGTGATCGGACATCATCGGAT